GAATGGACTCAACTTTGACTCAACTATTCATGATGTTACTTAATAAAAATTTTGAAGGTCGACGTTGCTTATTTTATTGTCGTTTTAACCTTATCTGGGCAAATATTGTATAATAGTAAACCGAAACAACTGTAGTTGCTTGTCCTACATCTATCAAACTGTTATTTTTATTAAATTGTTAGAACCCCAATTGACGTTGGGAAATTGGAGATATAGTTTTAAAAAGACTATTTTGATTTTAAGCCTCTTTATATTATATTTACAGGTTTATCAAGGCCCAAAATAAAGTGTAGCCAGCAAACAACTTTATCAATTACTTGAAAATCATGGTCAAAAGTTCAACAAACAAACAATTCTGGTGAAATTAGCTGATGGTAGTGCGAAACTGAATGAAGTGCTTGTAACACGGGTAAACGTCATTGTAGAACAACGTCTTCCCGACTACTTTCATCGTATTGCCAGAAGCACCAACTACCTTATTAGGTATAGCTTTTTTGCAAGATGCAAAAATAACATTAAACATACCTGATGTTTTGTGGAAATCTAATGTTGACCCAGAAGTTAAGTATGTATTTATTAGATTTTGAAAGTCAATCGATTGCGTTTTCAGTAGAATTGTCTAGTTTTGCGAGAAGATGAAGGTACAATGCTTAACCAAGCAGAGCGTGGCACTCTTAGTGCTTTAATCAAAGAAAATGAGGATATCTTCAAGCCAGGGGGAGACCCTACTCCCTATGCATTTCATTATATGAAGACACTTGATTATCCGCCTATAGCTGTTCCACCTTACCGTTTATCTCCTGCATGTAAGTAATTACTCAAAACTGAAATCGACAAACTCTTGGAGAATCATATAATTGAAGAATGTGAAAGCGCATGAACAGCCTTGGTGGTTATGGTATCCAAAGGTTCAGATGGTAAATACGTGCGTGTTATAGTGTGAACTATCAACGACTAAACGCAATTACAGTTAGTGACAAGTACTCGTTACTGCGTATGGATGATCTTCTTCACTCAACTAAAAGAACTTTGTTTGGGTTGCGTTATTATTATCACCAGATAAGTGTTCATGGACCTGATCGTGATAAAACTCCTTTAGAAACTTATCGTTTTAACAGGATGCCGTTTGGACTGAAAAATGCACCTGGAACTTTTCAGCGCTTGATCGATCAGTTTCGACGTGGACTCAGTAAGGTATCAGTGCCTCGAGGCCAGGGGACCCGTGAACGCATGTATGTAGGAAATTGTCAGAATGACCTACGAAAAGGGTTTGCTTTGCGACGGGATAAGAAAACAACGAGTCGGCCAATGATTGTTTTTTTGTTGCTGTAAAATAGTTGAACTGTTTAGTTTCCATGAATGTAGTAGCAGTTTTTAGATTGTAAAAAGCTGTTTATGTTAAAAAGCTATTGTCCAGCAGTCCAGCAACAGTACTGTGTTTTCCGGCGACCCTCTACCCAAACAACATTACAACATCTAACATTAAATTTATTAATAAGATTCAAAATGTTTCAATCAATGTCGTTTTTTTATCAGAAATGCATAATAACCATCAATTAAAGTGATTTTAAAGTCAAATAACAACACGCGATAATAATATGTTAGCGATACGATTAAATAATTATCCCAATTACATTATGATGATGCGGTGATGCACATATTGCATTTTTATGCTCGATAATGCACGGAATATTAAATCGATATTCAATGATGATAAGAAGAATAATAGTGACTAAAATGAAGGTCCTATTTTCTTATTTAAAAGCTACACTTAATGTAAATGTAAATGACCATCAACTTTATTTGCTTGTTTATTTTCACACTTACCCATAGCATTTATATTAATGAGTATTTCAAAATTTATATCTATGTATTGTGTAAGGTCATTTTAATACAAAATTTTCCAAACAATTTTATATCGTAGGCTGCTTTAGATAGCTGCTAATGCATACATACAATGACAATACAAACCAGATGTATGCACATTTTTTTTTTGGTTTCTTATTTTTATCAATGGGATCATATAACACTTCGTAATAAGACCGCAGATGTAAGTTGGCATATTTAACTTGCAAAAACAACTATGGAACTTCATGGCAATCTTATGCTTATGTAAAAGTCTATTTTCAATAAATATTTCGCTGGAATTTTTATTGCTTTGCTAGATTTATGTTGGTCTGGTCTAGACACATAAACTGTGCAAAGTTTTCACAGTTTGAGAAATATCAACTAACATAAATAATGGATTTTTCATATAAAAGCATTCAACATTTTTATATTTCAACATTTTTTTTCTATGTTTTCTATTAGATTGTCCCACTTGGTATATAAATTTGTTTTAAGAGAAAAACTTATTTTACCAACAGTGGATTCTACACTGGCACAAATAAGAAATGCAAAAGTATTTTCAAAATTAGATTGTGTATCAAGTTTTTGGCAATTTCCATTATCAGAAGGTTTGAAGCACTACACTGCCTTTTCAACACCTTTTGCGGAAGGTACATTTACAAGAGAATTCCTTTTGGAATTACTCCAGCTCCAGAAATGTTTCAGAGTACAATAAATATACTTTTCAATACTCATAAAGGGGTATTAGTACACATTGATGACATTACAGTTTTTGGAGAAAATGTTATACAGCATGATAAAAGGTTAAAAAGAGTGCTTGAAGTGTTACGAGACAATAGACTTACCTTAAACGAGTCAAAATGTCAAATAGGCATTTCGGAAGTGAAATTACTTGGACACATTATCAGATAATCGGGTATAAGAAAGGACAGTGACAATATTAGAGTTTGAAGAACCTAAAACAGTGACAAATGTGAGGCAGTTTCTTGGTATGATAAATCATCTTACAAAATTTCTTAAAAATATTGCAGATGAAACAAAACCTCTACGCGAACTTTTAAAACGTAACAATACTTTTCAGTTTATTGATATCCAGCAACAGCGTTTCAATAAATTGGAAATACATGTCACAAGTGCACCAGTCCTATGATGTTACTAAAGAAACAAGAATTCTCACAGACTCGAGTTCAACAGATAAATAATGGAAAAGATGTATTGGAAGAAATTGAATGCTATGTAAATGTTATAAGGAAAGGAACTGAAGATAACTTGAAGTTAACACACCAAAGGGTTGAAAAAGCACAGCAAGAAGAGTTTCAAGTGAATATCTAATGCAGAGATGGTCAGAAAAAGCATCAGAAGTAACTGAGACATGGCATAAATATTTCAAGTATCGTAATGAAATTACAGATTATGGCAGTTTATTGTATTACAAAGACAGAGAAATTTCAAATCCAATTCATATTGGACATCAAGCCATAAATGGTTGCAAATCTAGAGCAAAACATACTGTATGTTATTATATCATAGAAACAGTACAAAATTGCCATGAATGTTTGCAGAAACAGAATCAGGTAACAGATCCTATGACACTTCGAAAATTGCCAGACTTACCATTTCAGCAAATTTATCCCAGTACAGAAATCAAGTGTATTTTGTCATACAGGATGTGTACTCAAAATATCCAGCAGTTATTACACTAAAGAAAATTAAAAGTGAAGACATTATTGAAAAATTGAGAGAAATCTTTGAACGTTATGGAATTCCAAAGATATTATACTCAGACGGTGGATCACAATTTGATAGTTACCTACAGTTTCAGGAAGTTTACAACTTCAACCACATAAAAAGTAGCCCCACAAAGTAATGGTTCAGCAGAGAGAGCTGTACAGTTAGTGAAAAAACTGTTAAAAATGTGTGAATATCCTTATTTGGGAATATTAGCATACCGCAATACACCTCTTTCATGTGGAAACTCTCCTTCAGAACTACTATTTGAAAGAAAACTTACCTATCACAAAGAAAAACCTTAAACCAAAACTGGTTGACCATGAAATAGTTAGGAAGAAGCAGAGAGAGGAACAAGAAGCAGCAAAGAAAAATTATGACTATAGACATAAGTCAAAAATTTTACCAAAATTGAATGACAATGACCTAGTTTACATAAAAGATGTCAAATGTAATGGAAACATTGTAAGACAATGTCGAGAACCAAATTCATTTATGTTCCAGACCGAAGATGATGCTTCTAAGGAGAAACAGAAAATTTTTGGTAAAACTACCTGAAATCAAGGAAAAGGATTTAAACGAGAGAGAAAAGTGGAAATACTACAGAGATATAAGGATATGTAAAGTCCGTCGATTTTAATCTGATACTCCAAAGGAATGTGAGCTGGTGGCAACCTACATGAGAACGCCAATGGTCACCTGACGTGACGTCACACCTGTTTTTGCTATATGCTTCATCTTCTCGCTCCTCATACGGAAAGTGTTAGATTAAAAACGACGGACAATAGAACCCGAAGGAAGACAAAGAAAAGAAAAACGAAGACCAAAAAAATTTAACGATTTTGTTATGTGAAATTTGTTTACTTCAATTCAAACTTCTTTGTTGTTATTGTTAGTTGACATTCAAAGTTCTAATTATTTAATGTCAAACTCCGTAAATCTTCCTTTGGTAATGTAGGTACTACCTGCCTATATATTTTGAATTTTTTTTTCAAAATTGAAAGTACAGGAGATGTATAATAATATGTCAGAGATAGGGGGAGTGTGGGGGGAGTTTGAGAGAGGATGTCACTTATTTGTCAGAGAATAAATAACGTCGTATGAAACGCTCCCACAGTTTTATTTGAAAGTTTACTTCAAAACCTCAATCAATGAACTAAACTTATACTAAATTAAAGTATTTATGGCCCTTTTCACCAACTACTTTAGGGAAGCCCTAACGATACGTATGCCCTAAACTGACATTTCTCCATGTAAAAATGTCATTTTAGGGAATACTTATTGTTAGGGCTCCCCTAAAATGGTTGGTGGACACGGCCATTAATGTAACAATAGGTAGGTAGGTATATACCTAAGAAGACCAATAATAATAGTAGGTAAGGTATTAAGACAACATTTAAATACTCCTATAACTTTATACTTACTAGAAATTTCAGCCAAAAACAATATTCCAATTAAAGCCAAACGACTCGTCTTCATTTTGATAACAATAATACTTTTCACTATATAGTTTCTAGTCAAAAATAATATCACATTAACAAAATAACATTTTTTTTTTTGGATAAGATTTTAAATCTTGGTCGTACCTGTGGAACGTTATGTTTTTTTCGCGGACGATGTGCGAGTACCCGAAGTCGGTGTGGTTTTCGCAGAATAGTCGCGGAACAACTAGCAAAACCACATCTTGACTTGAAGCGTTTTGTGCACGTTCCGTTCAGTAAAGATCGCTTTGCTAGACAACAGGCAGGAGCGGGCGGATAATGATCAATGGGCAACAATATGAACGGTTCGGTGTCTGCGTATTTTTTATTTTTGCACAAGCTATTGTTAAATTACTCTGCAAGGGCTTTTGCCACCTGGAACTTTTAAAAAGAGTTTTTCCAAACTGATTTAAGACTCAAAATTATAGGTAAAGATTTTAAAGTCACTCATGACTCAAAAGTCTTTCAAGAGAAACATTTTACCAGTAACGGAAGCTGATGATCATGACTTAAAGATAAGATTACAGTACAGACGCTGAAGACTGAAAGCTGTGAGGATTTTGATAGCTCAACTGTTTTTTTGAGATTTTAGAATAGCTACAGCGATTCTGGTGCGATTTATAGACTTCAGACTGGTGCCTCTGAAAATGGGATCAAAGCTCAGAGATTCTATAAGGCTCCTACTTCTTTTACATAAACCATACCTTAGAAACTCTAGAGTGTCTTGAAAATATAGGAGTTTGAAGATTCTTCAATGTTGTCAGATGTATCAAATTTAAAATTATCAGGATTTGAGAACAAAATTATCAGATTCCAAGAAAAATTATCAGAAAAAGTTTTTGTCAACTTTTTTGACTTTTTATCTCTATTTTCATTTTTCGTGTTCTAGCTGGGACTCTGGCAATTGTAGCACTCAATAAAAGCTTCTTTCGATTGGTGGAGTCAAAAATTCGAAAAATTGAAAATTTAAAAATTCGAACTTTTTCAAAGGGGTATGCATAGAAATTTGATTTCGAAATATTTCAAAGAGCCATATTTTGGAAACCAATGAAGCTATTGGAATGAATCTTTTGCCTAATTGTAGCTCCTAATAAGGGCTACAAAAAATGTTATTTAAGACTCCAAGCCCAAGGGCTTCGTTTTCAAGATACTCCGCCTGGAAGCTTTTGCGAAATTTGAGGTAAAGTTTCAACTTTGAGCCTCAATATCTTCAGAATTATTTCAGATATAGAATTGAATCTTATTTAATCTTGAAGATAATTTAATTCTGATTCAGAATCTATAATTTTACATCATATTTGTTATAATAATAACCGAGTAATCAGCAATTTTATGAAAGAATATCAGATTATTGAAATTTTTTGAGCCCAAAAATTGCAAATATCGTTTTTATTTTTTAACAAGGCTTTAAAACCCAAAAAGAAAAGTTGCAAAAATGCTTTTCTACTAATTTTAACCTCTTCTTTTGATTGGTGAAGTCAAAAATTCGAAAAACTGAAAATTTAAAAATTCGAACTTTTCCAAAGGGGGTATGTGTATGCATGGAAATTTGATTTCCAAATATTTCAAAGAGCCATATTTTGGAAACCAGTGAAGTTATTGGCATGAATCTTTTGCCCAATTGTAGCTCCTAATAAGGGTTACAAAAAAGGTTATTTAGGATTCCAAGCCTAAGAGCTTCGTTTTGAAGATAATCTGCCTGGAAGCTTTTGCAAAATTTGAGGTAAAGTTTCAACTTTGAGCCTCAATATCTTCGGAATTATTTAAGATATAGAATTGAATCTTATTTTATTTCGAAGATAATTTAATTCTTATTCAGAATATATAATTTTATATTGTATTTGTTACAATAATAACCGAGTAATCAGCAACTTTGTGAAAGAATGTCAGATTATTGAACTTTTTTGAGCCCAAAAATTGCAAAAATCGTTTTTATTTTTTTACAAGGCTTTAAAATTCTAAAAACAAAGTTGCAAAAATGCTTTTTCACTAATTTTGATCTCCTCTATTGGTTGGTAAAGTCAAACATTGCAAAATCCAAAAATTTAAAAATTCGAATTTTTCCAAAGGGGTATGCATGAGGATTTGATTTTCAAATATTTCAAAGGGCCATATTTTGGAAACCAGTAAAGTTATTGGCATGAATTTTTTGCTCAATCTGGGACTAGTGTTTACGTCAAAACACTCAAAACCAACAACCATCTTCAATTTTTTAATAAATTTTTACAGCTGTATGCAACATCCTCTTTTAACTCAAAAGCGCTTTTTAAAACTGGTCAGATTCTGTATTCTAAGCCATACAAATTTTTAAAGATACCAGTTTCAAAAAGCGCTTTTAAGTTTAAAGAGGATGTTGCATACAGCGATTAATTTTTAAATAGAAATTTGAAAAATCTATATTAAAATTGTAGTTTCAATAAATTATGGTAGATTAGCTTGTCATTATCGATTATTGACTCGTAGTCAAAATTATGGTAGAATTCGATAATTATCGGATCATTGGCAACACTGAGATTCTTACAACTATACACTGAAAATTTTGAATTTCTACAAGCTTCGACCACTTTTAATTCTCATAAGATTTGAGTGGAAAACATTGCCATTGTAAGGTCGAATATGATCAATGAAAAAGCCAAAGAATTTAAAGAATCGTTAAAGCCTTTAAGTCAAAAAGACTTTGAACACTTCAACGATTCCAAAGATTTTACAGTAATTATCAATAAATGCTTATGCCTTGGGAATATACTCTAAAGACTCAATACCTACTGAGGAAGAATTTTGAAGATTCTGAAAGCTCTAAAGAATTTGAGACATGCCTATACCTACCTGTTTATAAGTATATGTACAAACAAATACTTTATATTTTATTATATAATTATTATCTCCCTGTCGGTAGTTATCAGTTATTGTCCAATTTACATACATTTGACACGGATAATTGCGTATGTTTCTTGACTAATGAAATTTGGACGTGATAAAAATTAATATACGAGATAAATTCTGCTTATACTTAATCAAACCAATTAAATATAGACGTATCAAATCAAAATTATTAAACACTTTTCCAACGTTAATAATTTAATTGTATTTCTGGCCCACTTTTCCTAATAATAATTTATTAACTATGCCATTAAATTATTACTTGGCTCGGTAGTCGAGTTGGCTCGGCATCTGTTTTGAATAAACAAAAAGAATTTTAATAACTACCGCCAATTAAAAATAGCCCATAAAACGGCGGCCTTTTAAATTGGATATTGTCGATAACTTTATTTTTAGATTAATTGTTTTGCGTTGTTATGTTGATCTACTACTGCAAAGTAATTGATATTTGGAATAATATATAGTAATTGTTTTGTGTACGGAATTTGATGTAAATATGAATGGATAATCAAAGGAGATATATGGATCTATCTTCCCAAGTAGCGACCCTGCGCGATTTTCTCACAACACGAAATCCTGGAGAGAATACCTCCCTAAACCTTTAAATTTCTCTCACTTTTACTGAAGTAATCCATGATAACCAAGATGTATTCGTTACCACGCTCTGACGGTAACGGTCCGGCAACATCTATCGCTATTCTTTCAAATGGGAGACCGACGTTGTACTGTTTCATGGGCCCCCGAGATCTTAGCTTACTGGTAGCACAGATGTCGCATTTTCGACACCAGTTTTTAACGTCTTCATGGTAATGAACCCAGTAAAAACGTTCCCGAATTTTGTCCAACGTCTTATAAACTCCAAAATGTGCCCCTGAAGTTCCGTCATGTATTTCTTTTAATACATCTTCCACTCAGTCTTTTGGGATAACCAGTTGGCTCTTAGTGGATATCCTATCGGCACTTTCCCAAACTCTTGTAAGCAAACCATTTTCTACGGCCAGAGAGTTCCACTGGGACCACAACGCCTTGTAAATTAAGCTCATGTTTGACACTTCTCTCCATTCTTGCCTACATTCATCATTTTCCTTAAGATGGAGAATTTACCCGATGTCCTGGTCTGCCTCCTGATATTCTCTCATTTGTTTGGTAGTCCATTTGTCATCAACGATCAGGCCCGTTCTCCTCACAGCTGGACTAGCGTTTTTCTCATGCATATTTCCAGGTCGATGTTTAGGGCTGGCGTCTCTGGACCTCCAAAAGCGTTGGAAACGATCCCTAGATGGAGAGGACATCCTTAGTCTACAATCCCATTGCATGTGTCCAAACTTTTGGCACTGGTAACATTCTACTCGGTTTCTCGGTGTTGGTGTTTGTTTGGAGTCGTTTTCCATTTGTCTACTTTCTAGTACTAATTTCTCCATCTTCTCCATGAACTTACTCATAAAATTCTTGAATCTACCATCTTCTTTTGACGTTTGTTTATCCTCTCTGGGTCTTGAATGGACACTGCTCGTATTCTGGGTCTTGAGGCACCAAAGATTGCTTCCAGTTCCAATGCTCAGACAAGGGCTTCACTACTTTTCCTGAACTTGGACATTCTTAGGTTTTCCTGGATCTTGGAATCCCGGAGACCATCAATAAACGCAGATACTGCCACCCATTCCTGCATGTCTTCCCCAGCTGCAGGAAACGCCAAACTCACTAGCCTTTTAACTTCTGATTCGAATTCTTGTAAACTTTCGCCGGGTTTTTGAACTCTTGATTTAACTTGAGTTCTGAATACTTCTTGCCTGTAATGGTATCCGAAGCGCAATTCTAACGTTTGACTAAGATGCTGGTAATTCTATTGGTAGATTGAAGGAATGTGCAATTTCCCTCAAATTCTCTTCAAATATCTTCCCTATTCTTTTGTTGAAGTTTTAAACACATCGGTGAATTCACAAATTCGATATCTCCCTTAGTTTCCAAATACAATGTTCTAGAATTTTCCCCAAACTCCTCGAAAAACTTTTTCTGAATGAAGATTGATGTTCCGAATACGTCGGCGAAGTCAGAAATTCGATATCACTTTTGGTTTCCAAATAGAATTTTCTAGAACTCACTCGAATATTCACTATCACAGTCAAAATCGGGTAGGTATACAGTCACTTCTGGGGTAAATTACACGATCGGTTAAGTGACTTTTTGTGATTGTCACTGTTTGCACTGACTAACTGTCCAAGTGTTCATTTAGTGTTCAGTGTTCATACTACACTAGTGTCCCCGCACTATTCTGCAATTGGATTTCACTTTTCAGTCCTTTATGTCTCACTTCTGACACCAATGTCACAGCTTTGGGTTGCGTGACATAAATCTTGGGTTTGTTGT